TATGCAGAGGTGAAGGGGCAATATCCCCCTGTAAAAACCAAGAAAAGAATACGTCTAGGAAAAAAAAGAAAATAAACAAAACATCCCTCCATACCCTCAGGACAGAGGCCAGCATCCTTATCCTGGCCCTCTATGCCCTCTGCAACCCTGCACCCACCACTCCTGCTTGGCTTCTGCAGTGCAGAGCAAAGTCCCAGGTGGGGCTCCGTGGTTCCCCTCCCTGTGGCTCTGCATACATCGCCCCTCTCCTTGGGACATTTCTCCTGGCTACCCACTCTTCAAGACCTAGCCTGGGGGTCACCTCCAGGAAGCCCCCTGACTCCTCTGAGCTCCCATGTCACCCTGTGCTGTCCTCTGTCACTGTCCTTATCACACTGTGCTGCCCTTATGTGTGCCTGGCTCCTCTCCTGGCCTGTGAGTTCCTTGAGGGCAGGGACCATGTATGCCAAAGCCAGGCACAGGGGATGCCCCCAGCAAGTTTGTTGAGAGTCTGAGGAGCTTTCTCAGCACAGCTAACAGTGTAGACCGCCGCAAAGCAGGTGGGTGGCTGGCCTTGGAGACCAGTGTCAGGGGAGATGTGGCAGGAGCTGGAAGGATGGGGTGGGTATGGGCCCAAGGAGCCGGGGACGCTGAGCAATTGCTTTTCTAGCCCAAGGGAACTGGCTTTCTGTCCTCCTCATCCCACTCAGGGCAATTCTTTTGTCAGTTCCTCATCAAGGCCCTTGCTGAACATCCTCTCCTGGGAATGTGACCTCAAATCTCTCCCCAGGAGTCCCACACTTCCCATGGTCCCCCATCTTCCTAGGTATCCCAAACTTCTTCATCAAAGTTTCCTGGAAACTTTCTCACGACTTCTAAAATTCCGACATTCGTCTCCCAAACTTCACCTCAAAACCACGTTTCCTACCCTGCACCCAGGAGGAGAATGGTGTGCTCCTTACCTAAGCGTTGTCCTGGGTGGGGAAGCTGCTGCTGGTCTCCACCATGGGCACCAGGAGAGGAGAGGACGTTTTTTTTTTTTATGTTGTCAATCCCCACCCCTTGCACCTCCCCCACACAGCTGCTCAGAAAGGCGACACTCCCCCATCTATTTCTGGATGTCTCCTCTGGACTCAGGAACACCAGCCTCTTCCTAGTTTGACCTGCCCAGTGTTCTTCCCACCAAAAAAAAAAAAAAAAAAAAAAGGAATCCCAGAGAGGAGGTAGGCTGAAGCACTGGGGACCCAGGCTGGTACAACTGCCTCCTCACTGGCTGTGGTCCTGCACTCTGGTCAGCCAGGGAGGAGGAAGAGAAGAGGAAGCTTCAGAGCCCCGGCCTCAGAGAGCATCTCCTTAGATGATGTTCCTTTCATGTGAACACTGAGACTTAACTAAGGTGCCAGGAGCGATTGGGACTAAGGAGGCTGGGTTCTGGGTCCCAGCTCCAGTCCTGACTTGCCAGGTGATCTTGGAGGCCTTTCTGCCAACACTTAGGATCCCCGCCCAATGACTAGACTTTGAGTCCATCTCTTGGGACCTTATTTTGTGTTCTGGCATGGGAGAAGGAATTCCTCAAAGCCAGAGGGTGGAGAGGGACAAAGCAGTGATCCCCGCAGATCTGGTCTCAGGGGCTGTCCCAGGAGGCCAAGCTGACTCCAGGTGGTATCTTCTCTTCAAGCAACTACAAACACTCAGCTTCCTCCAGAGAGAGGAAGGATAAGCAGGCAGGATACGCAGGCAAATGCTGTTTTCCACCATATTGGTAAACAGTAGGGTGATTCCTGATTTTAGAATCTCGGAGGGCTTTGGGATGGCTAGACTCA